TTTAAATACATCCAGTCCCTCCAGAAGTTCCCTGACTAGTTTGCTCAGTATATAAAGTCTAAACTACCTCTGTCTCTGGGTTGGGCTTTTGAAAGAGCAGTTAGGTTTAGCTCATCTTTATCCCATCTTCCCAGCCTTAACTACACCTGGATTTCTTCTCTCAAAACTATTCAGCCCACACCTGAGGTCCTCTATCATGCACACAGGTGAGTTAGTAGAAAACATTTAACCTTTCTGTGATGGATCAACACTTTCTTGCCACACCAGTTACTTCAGGCAAAATTTTCCAATCTATTACACCATGACATTTGACAATCTGGCAATAGGAGAAGCAGGTGTTGAGATGAGAAGGAACGCGAAACTAAAACCAAGTAGCAATAGAGCTGATGAACTTTCTCTTTATCATAATCCTGTAGTCCTGAGGCACTTCACAGACTTGACCAATGGAGTCTAAATTAAAAAAAAAGAGTAAACAACTCAGGGAAGTTTAGCCACTGCTAGTGTAAAAGAGGGAATATATTTAATACTGCTCATCAGCACTACATAATACTTTAGCACAGGAAATGAATCCTCTGATCTGAGAATAATAAGAGAGTGTAGGTAGGGAAGTGGCAATGTGTTAGTTTAGTGTTTGTTAAGAAGATACAGGTGAATGCAAACACTGAATCATCAGTGACACTTTTTGTGGCGCTTGGGCGTCTCTTAAGCATCTAACCCAGTCAAAAAGGGTGGTGCAGCAGCCAGGTGTGCAAACATTATTCACAAGATAAGCCCCGATATTTCAAACAGAAATCCATAATTTTAAAAAATGTTAAGCGTTGTGGTCTTTCTGCAACAGAAAAATTGCTATATTTTTCTGTAGTCAAAAATCAAGTACAAATGAAGAGCTGTCATTTACCAAGGGTTGCCTTGAGTCTATCAAGGGGTACCTTGAGACTAAAAAAAGGATGAGAACCACTGATTTAACCCCATTTCATTTGTCAGAACTAATGATCAAATCATGACTTTAAAATACAACTCAAAATTCATCTGTACCTTTACTGGGCTGTTAACCAATCAAAATCCAATAAAACAATAATATTTTGAAAGTGGGGGAGTCATTTTCTGTTTGGGTTTTAAGAAGCCAAATTTTTAAAGAAAAGTAACTGGCAAAAAGAAAGGGGGTGGGGAGGAGGGCAAGGCATCTACTAAAAGACCACCCGAGATACACTTTTCTTAAAACAATGCAAAAAAGCCTCGTATATGTTTTACCAGGGAGATAGTGGTGTGTAAAGTCAAAACAGTCAGAACAACATATCAACTGTCGGTCTTATTCCTGTACAGCTGACTCCTCTATTATTTTAACAGAGTGAAGCATTTTGTTACTAATCTAATTTACCAGTCACTTACAGATATTTCTCCAGTCAGACTGGTGAACACAGTTAAAACCTGTCTTGTACCTAGAGTTCCCTGGGGTGCAAAACTAATTGATTTTACCAATGGGGCTCATCCATTTTAAGGTAATTCCCAGTGAGGAGACTCATTTTTTTTAAGCTGTCACTGTTCCAGTGCTTCATAATAAACGTCTACGCTCCCCATATTCGTATCATAGGATAGTCTGGAGGGATTTGATACAAAGTGATGAATGCTAGTAATAATCTGTTTTTTTTTCCATTCACACAGAAAAGTGTCCGTTTGCTAACAAAGTGAAATGCTTGAAGGAGGAAAGTCAACAAGCTGTTTTAAAACGTTATTTGGGGGCTAAAAAGGAATGTGCGTCTTAGTTGCTTTGGTATAAGAAAGTCTGGATTTAATGATGCTTAAAAATGAGACATTAAGAAATGGAATGACTTAAATCCATATTAAAATGATTACTTAATTATTAGAAAGCCTAATTTCTATAATTAACATTAATTTCTCAATTAATGCCCATAAACTTAAATCCAAACAAGCTAAGCAAACCAAATGATAATGTATCTTGTTTATCAGTATATCCTAGATTCAGTCTCACAGCTTTGCTCCCTAGTTGTGTAACAATAGTTGAACATAATCACAAAATTTGCAGTAACATATAACAATAGCATGGTGGATACTGGAATATCTATTTTCTGTCACAGGGATGAGAGAATTTTGCAGCTTTGTGTCAAGGCATCTAGTTTTTATCTTCCCCTTAATAACAGATGTCCTATATGACCTTGGGAAAGTGACCTAGCCTCTATGCCTCAATGATCCTTCCAGTAAGTGATAATTAATATTACTTTTTGTAATTAGCACGATGTTATTGAATTAAATTAATTTCTGTCTGAAAGGCATACCACTATGTTTGGATGCATGGCACTTGACAAGGACAAAGTGTTCTTATCTATATTTACTAAAGACATCCGTTTGAGGATACGCAGATCCCAAACACCAACGTGACATTAATATTCTTCACATTATGAATAACTGGTGAAAATGTGGGAACAAACAGTACTTTAAACACTTTCCTTAATCGATTTTGTCCCACTGATAAATCATCCCTTTGTGGAAAGATGATATTACATCTAATTCTGCTATCATTTTTCATGCATTTAATATAACTGCCAAGTGCCTGGTTGGTTGTTCGGAGTTTATTATGAGTCTCTAAGCAGCCAGTCAGTACTGTACTGTTTTGATACAAGAGGGTTTATAATCCAATCTAGCTTTTATTAGCTCACATAACCTGGTGAATGGGGAGTGCTTGGTAAAATTATACCATTCACCCTTCCTTTACAAAAGAATCTCTCCTTTGGCCTGATGGCATTGATGGTAATAGAAGCTGACTACAATAGAAGAGTGCCTGGGGATGACGGGGTCTGAACTCATTTCAGAAACATGGTGGCTAGTAGCCAGTGTCCACAGAGCAAAATGTAATAATGAGCAATTATAGAACATTCTTCTTCAGAGGCCATGCAAATTAACTATTTAACTCTTATATCACTTCTGGGCGGTAGTTTTTATCCCCATTTCTCAGCTGGTAAAACCGAGATTCAAGAGGTTAATATCCAAGTTTTGCAAAGCTTGAGCCCAAACTACATTAGAACACCTGACGCTCTTGTGAAAAGTCAAGATTTGCGTGTGTTTGCAAGCCAGGGGAATCTGTGTCAAAACCATGATTAGAATTTAAATTTCTGAGTTTCCCACGTGCGTAATTAAGACCATCTCTCTTACTATAGCATTCAGAAGATGCTTTTTCAATCTTTCCATGAAAGAAGGCTAGCAGACTGACTTGACAAAAAGGTTTTCATTAACCTCTGCCAAGCATTAGGTGTGGCTGTAGCAACTGCAAATTTATAGATGTGTTTTAAAAGGGGGAAAAAATTCTTAACTGAATATTTAAAAATGTGGAGCATATTTTTTCCCCTTCATTTTCTGACAAATGCAGAAATAAAACTAAAAGGGAAATGAGGTTTATGTTCCTTCATGTGCAGAAATCAACATACAGCCAAATGGAAATAAACTGTATCAAAGAAAACCTTGCCTGGCCCTATCTGCTGTTGTACAGTACAATGTAATTTCATATTCCATCACCATCTTGAAATCAAGGTAGATTTACTTTTTACCTTCTTTTTCCATCGAGTACTCTTCACACTAAATGTAAATTTTCTCTCTCCCTCTACACTTCAGTATTATAATTCAGCTTCATTACCATGGCTACAGAAATGTCAAACTTCCATTAGCACAAACTTCTGCTGATTTTATTTTTGTTCTAGTCCTTTTGCCTTTTATTTTTGTCTCTTTCCAGATTGAAACAATACAAATATAGCCTTCTTCTCATTGGATGACGGGGAGAACAAAAATAAGTGCTTATTATGTATCAGGAACTCCCATCAATTGGCCTTTATAGGGGTGTTTAACTGCATTGCCCTGGAGAAATTCCAATTAAAATAATTACATTCTGACCACTTCAAACTCCCTCTGTTGTTTCTGTTGGCTAAACAGCATCCTTCTGCACTGACTATCCTAGAAATGGAATGGAGTGATCACGTGTTATTTAAAATGGATTACAATTTTCAGTGGTTGAGAAAGTGATCCCCATAGAGAGAAGGCCTCTCCTCAGTCTGCCGACGTGTTCCATGATCCCATTGCAGGAATAGAACTATAATTTGGGAAGAAACCTACGGGGTCCTATGCGCGTGCAGGGAGCCAGTTCTGACTTGCTGGAAATCCAGCGTGTTGGATCAGACTCAATTAATTAAGTCTGATGGAGCACAGAAATGAATGTACTCCAGCAAATGCCAGCATCACATGTATCAGTGTGTCTGTGCTGAAAAATGCTGGCAGGGTGCTTTGAACTAAGGCTTGGTTGATGAGTTTTAGATCAAAGCACGCCTCTGCCATTCTTCAGCATGAGGGACACTGATATACCTGATGCTTCAGTGCTTTTAATTAGCACAGCTCACTAATTAAAGTGCCTCCTGGAGCACATGTAAAAATGCCCTACTATTCTGTAGCTAACAGCTTCATGGGAACAACATTTTCTAGAGAAACTTATTTCTATTTCCTACTTATTCACTCTTTTCTGTAGTTGTTTTGAACCATCCATAGGCCCAGTCTCTGCTGGACAATACTGGTCTAGCCCACAATGCACCGTGCATGCCTTCACCCACCTTTGTGAGCTGAGCAGGAAACGGTTTGCTTGAGTTTAAGATTCTTCTCATTCCATTTGGACACGTTTGTGAAAAACGAGATCAGAGATGCACTGCATCTCGCCCAGCCCCAAAATACCCATTTGTGCGTGCTCGGGCTGCTGTCCCGGGGTGTGGTGTCCCACCTGCAAGCCCCTGCTTTACCACATTCAGACCACACTTAAATCTCAATCTTCCAGGCTCTAGGAGGGTTCCCTAACCACTAGGCAGTTGGCTAGGCTGGGGTTGAGGGATCTCTCTTAGTCTCTCCTGTCAGAGCTCTTTTGCTTTGTATAAATAAATATTCATTAGGCCAGAGAGACAAAGTAGCCTCTGGGTATGTCTACATGTCCTATTAATGCAGTTTGAGCTTACTACACAGTAAATAAAGTGCAGTAAGCTCCACCCCCGGAGCACATCTACATGTGTGCCCATCAGGAGCAAATTTGTTCCCCATGCAAGCAGTTCAGTGTAGTGCTATTCCTGCCCTGCTATGCCCCCCTACAGCACCCAGGACGAGCTCCAGGCTCCCCTGGGAGCAGCTGCAGGCTGGAAGGAGGCGCTGGAGTCAGGCCTGGGCTTTATAGGGTGGGAGGAGCTGTCCCACCTCCAGGGCAGCTGCCTCTCAGCCCTGCACCCTCATCTGGGAAACTGTCCCCTGCCCCAGGCAGCCACCTCCTTCCCAGCCCTG